TGGCAGGATCTGGTGTGTCGGGGCGAGCTGGCAATCAACATTGTGTTTGTGATCGACGGCATGCAGGAGAACGGGTGCAAGGTGAGTGGGGTGTGGTACAGAGTGGTACGATGCGGGTGTAGCATGCAGGAGAACGGGTGCAAGGGGAGTGGGGCGTGGTGCAGAGCGGTGCAATGCAGTGTAGCGTGCAGGAGAACGGGTTCAAGGTGAGTGGGGTGTGGTACAGAGTGGTACGATGCGGGTGTAGCATGCAGGAGAATGGGTGCAAGGTGAGTGGGGTGTGGTACAGGTTGTGCATTGCGCTGTGGGATGCAGGAGAACAGGTGCAAAGGTGAGTGGGGTGTGGTGCAGAGATGTGTAATGTGGTTGTGGGATGCAGGAGAACGGGTGCAAGTTGAGTGGGGTGTTCCACAGAGTGGTGCAATGCGGTGTAGCATGCAGGAGAATGGGTGCGAGGCGAGTGTGGCGTGGGACGAGACGCAATGTGGTGTATGGCCCCTCTCGCCCCTACCCCTTTCCGCCAGGCTTTAATTGGGCTAACCTATCTGGACTGGTTTGAAACCCTGATTTCTCCTGTCTGTCCGAACTCTCTTCCGATTTCCCCCCTCAGGGTTTCAAGGAAGCAGTGTATGCCAACCTGGACTGGTTTGAGGGCACGGGGCTCATTCTCAGCAGCGATGGCGCGTGGATCAGGTGGGGACTAGGTGCAGCCATGGATCTATTAAGCTGCAGTAAGTTTTAGGTGGGGCCGCAGCACAGAGTTAGGGATCAGCTGAGGTTCCCATGACTACTAGCCGTGCCTTGCTCCCCCTCTTGACCGCCACCCGTGTGTCATCTATGGCAGGGCGTCTCTCATCCTGCTTGATTTCTTACCCCCCAACCCCCCTCGTTCCGCCACCCTTCTTCCTTTCCTCCCCCCAGCGACCAGCACCCGTGTCTGATATACGGCATGCGGGGGCTGATCTGTCTGACGGTGGCGGTGAGCGGGCCGCTCAAGGATTTGCACTCGGGCACACACGGGGGCAGCTTCAACGAGCCTCTCAACGACCTTGTCACTGTGCTCTCCAACCTCGTCGACTCCAATAACATGATTCTTATTCCAGGTGAATCCAACAACATGATTCTTATTCCAGGTGAATCCAACATTATGATCCTCATCCCAGGTAAATCCAACAACATGATCCTCATCCCAGGTGAATATAACACGCATTTTGGGTTCAGGTAGAATCAACAGGATGTCTGGCTGGCTTCAGGTGGAATATTATACCGAGTTTTTTGGCATCAGGTGAAAGCGATCCCAACGGTGTCAAATCTCAAGCCATATTTCTCTTTCCTTCTTTCTTTGTCAAAAACTATGGATGCATACTGGCAGGGTTCTACGACGATGTGAAGCCATTGGACGAGGAGGAGGAGGCGTTGTACCAGGGGCTGCACTTCCGAGTGGATGAGTACAAGGTGGGTGGACGAGTACAAGGTGGGTGGACGAGTACAAGGTGGGTGGACGAGTACAAGGTGGGTGGACGAGTACAAGGTGGGTGGACGAGTACAAGGTGGGTGGACGAGTACAAGGTGGGTGGGCGAGTACAAGGTGGGTGGACGAGTACAAGGTGGGTGGACGAGTACAAGGTGGGTGGACGAGTACAAGGTGGGTGGGCGAGTACAAGGTGGGTGGACGAGTACAAGGTGGGTGGACGAGTACAAGGTGGGTGGACGAGTACAAGGTGGGTGGACGAGTACAAGGTGGGGTGGACGAGTACAAGGTGGGTGGACGAGTACAAGGTGGGTGCACGAGTACAAGGTGGGTGCACGAGTACAAGGTGGGTGGACGAGTACAAGGTGGGTGGACGAGTACAAGGTGGGTGGGCGAGTACAAGGTGGGTGGACGAGTACAAGGTGGGTGGGACGAGTACAAGGTGGGTGGACGAGTACAAGGTGGGTGGACGAGTACAAGGTGGGTGGACGAGTACAAGGTGGGTGGACGAGTACAAGGTGGGTGGACGAGTACAAGGTGGGTGGACGAGTACAAGGTGGGGTGGACGAGTACAAGGTGGGTGGACGAGTACAAGGTGGGTGGACGAGTACAAGGTGGGTGGACGAGTACAAGGTGGGTGGACGAGTACAAGGTGGGTGGACGAGTACAAGGTGGGTGGACGAGTACAAGGTGGGTGGACGAGTACAAGGTGGGTGGACGAGTACAAGGTGGGTGGACGAGTACAAGGTGGGTGGACGAGTACAAGGTGGGTGGGCGAGTACAAGGTGGGTGGACGAGTACAAGGTGGGTGGACGAGTACAAGGTGGGTGGACGAGTACAAGGTGGGTGGGACGAGTACAAGGTGGGTGGACGAGTACAAGGTGGGTGGACGAGTACAAGGTGGGTGGACGAGTACAAGGTGGGTGGACGAGTACAAGGTGGGTGGACGAGTACAAGGTGGGTGGACGAGTACAAGGTGGGTGCACGAGTACAAGGTGGGTGCACGAGTACAAGGTGGGTGGACGAGTACAAGGTGGGTGGACGAGTACAAGGTGGGTGGACGAGTACAAGGTGGGTGGACGAGTACAAGGTGGGTGGACGAGTACAAGGTGGGTGGGCGAGTACAAGGTGGGTGGACGAGTACAAGGTGGGTGGACGAGTACAAGGTGGGTGGACGAGTACAAGGTGGGTGGACGAGTACAAGGTGGGTGGACGAGTACAAGGTGGGTGGGCGAGTACAAGGTGGGTGGGCGAGTACAAGGTGGGTGGACGAGTACAAGGTGGGTGGACGAGTACAAGGTGGGTGGACGAGTACAAGGTGGGTGGATGAGTACAAGGTGGGTGGACGAGTACAAGGTGGGTGGACGAGTACAAGGTGGGTGGACGAGTACAAGGTGGGTGGACGAGTACAAGGTGGGTGGACGAGTACAAGGTGGGTGGACGAGTACAAGGTGGGTGGGCGAGTACAAGGTGGGTGGACGAGTACAAGGTGGGTGCACGAGTACAAGGTGGGTGCACGAGTACAAGGTGGGTGGACGAGTACAAGGTGGGTGGACGAGTACAAGGTGGGTGGACGAGTACAAGGTGGGTGGACGAGTACAAGGTGGGTGGACGAGTACAAGGTGGGTGGGCGAGTACAAGGTGGGTGGACGAGTACAAGGTGGGTGGACGAGTACAAGGTGGGTGGGCGAGTACAAGGTGGGTGGACGAGTACAAGGTGGGTGGGCGAGTACAAGGTGGGTGGGCGAGTACAAGGTGGGTGGACGAGTACAAGGTGGGTGGACGAGTACAAGGTGGGTGGACGAGTACAAGGTGGGTGGATGAGTACAAGGTGGGTGGACGAGTACAAGGTGGGTGGACGAGTACAAGGTGGGTGGACGAGTACAAGGTGGGTGGACGAGTACAAGGTGGGTGGACGAGTACAAGGTGGGTGGACGAGTACAAGGTGGGTGGACGAGTACAAGGTGGGTGGACGAGTACAAGGTGGGTGGACGAGTACAAGGTGGGTGCACGAGTACAAGGTGGGTGGACGAGTACAAGGTGGGTGGACGAGTACAAGGTGGGTGGACGAGTACAAGGTGGGGTGGACGAGTACAAGGTGGGTGGACGAGTACAAGGTGGGTGGGCGAGTACAAGGTGGGTGGACGAGTACAAGGTGGGTGGACGAGTACAAGGTGGGTGGACGAGTACAAGGTGGGTGGACGAGTACAAGGTGGGTGGACGAGTACAAGGTGGGTGGACGAGTACAAGGTGGGTGGACGAGTACAAGGTGGGTGCACGAGTACAAGGTGGGTGCACGAGTACAAGGTGGGTGGACGAGTACAAGGTGGGTGGACGAGTACAAGGTGGGTGGACGAGTACAAGGTGGGTGGACGAGTACAAGGTGGGTGCACGAGTACAAGGTGGGTGGACGAGTACAAGGTGGGTGCACGAGTACAAGGTGGGTGCACGAGTACAAGGTGGGTGGACGAGTACAAGGTGGGTGGACGAGTACAAGGTGGGTGGACGAGTACAAGGTGGGTGGACGAGTACAAGGTGGGTGGACGAGTACAAGGTGGGTGGGCGAGTACAAGGTGGGTGGACGAGTACAAGGTGGGTGGACGAGTACAAGGTGGGTGGACGAGTACAAGGTGGGTGGACGAGTACAAGGTGGGTGGACGAGTACAAGGTGGGTGGACGAGTACAAGGTGGGTGCACGAGTACAAGGTGGGTGCACGAGTACAAGGTGGGTGGACGAGTACAAGGTGGGTGGACGAGTACAAGGTGGGTGGACGAGTACAAGGTGGGTGGACGAGTACAAGGTGGGTGCACGAGTACAAGGTGGGTGGACGAGTACAAGGTGGGTGGGCGAGTACAAGGTGGGTGGACGAGTACAAGGTGGGTGGACGAGTACAAGGTGGGTGGACGAGTACAAGGTGGGTGGACGAGTACAAGGTGGGTGGGCGAGTACAAGGTGGGTGGGCGAGTACAAGGTGGGTGGGCGAGTACAAGGTGGGTGGACGAGTACAAGGTGGGTGGACGAGTACAAGGTGGGTGGACGAGTACAAGGTGGGTGGACGAGTACAAGGTGGGTGGACGAGTACAAGGTGGGTGGACGAGTACAAGGTGGGTGGACGAGTACAAGGTGGGTGGACGAGTACAAGGTGGGTGGACGAGTACAAGGTGGGTGCACGAGTACAAGGTGGGTGCACGAGTACAAGGTGGGTGCACGAGTACAAGGTGGGTGGGACGAGTACAAGGTGGGTGGGCGAGTACAAGGTGGGTGGACGAGTACAAGGTGGGTGGACGAGTACAAGGTGGGTGGACGAGTACAAGGTGGGTGGACGAGTACAAGGTGGGTGGACGAGTACAAGGTGGGTGGACGAGTACAAGGTGGGTGCACGAGTACAAGGTGGGTGCACGAGTACAAGGTGGGTGGACGAGTACAAGGTGGGTGGACGAGTACAAGGTGGGTGGACGAGTACAAGGTGGGTGGACGAGTACAAGGTGGGTGGACGAGTACAAGGTGGGTGGGCGAGTACAAGGTGGGTGGACGAGTACAAGGTGGGTGGACGAGTACAAGGTGGGTGGACGAGTACAAGGTGGGTGGACGAGTACAAGGTGGGTGGACGAGTACAAGGTGGGTGGACGAGTACAAGGTGGGTGCACGAGTACAAGGTGGGTGCACGAGTACAAGGTGGGTGGACGAGTACAAGGTGGGTGGACGAGTACAAGGTGGGTGGACGAGTACAAGGTGGGTGGACGAGTACAAGGTGGGTGCACGAGTACAAGGTGGGTGGACGAGTACAAGGTGGGTGGGCGAGTACAAGGTGGGTGGACGAGTACAAGGTGGGTGGACGAGTACAAGGTGGGTGGACGAGTACAAGGTGGGTGGACGAGTACAAGGTGGGTGGACGAGTACAAGGTGGGTGGGCGAGTACAAGGTGGGTGGGCGAGTACAAGGTGGGTGGACGAGTACAAGGTGGGTGGACGAGTACAAGGTGGGTGGACGAGTACAAGGTGGGTGGACGAGTACAAGGTGGGTGGACGAGTACAAGGTGGGTGGACGAGTACAAGGTGGGTGGACGAGTACAAGGTGGGTGGACGAGTACAAGGTGGGTGGACGAGTACAAGGTGGGTGGGCGAGTACAAGGTGGGTGGACGAGTACAAGGTGGGTGGACGAGTACAAGGTGGGTGGACGAGTACAAGGTGGGTGGACGAGTACAAGGTGGGTGGACGAGTACAAGGTGGGTGGACGAGTACAAGGTGGGTGGACGAGTACAAGGTGGGTGGACGAGTACAAGGTGGGTGGACGAGTACAAGGTGGGTGGACGAGTACAAGGTGGGTGGACGAGTACAAGGTGGGTGGACGAGTACAAGGTGGGTGGACGAGTACAAGGTGGGTGGGTGGGTGGCTGTGGCTGGCTCTGTGGAGTACAAGGTGGGTATGGCTGACAGATCGGTGTCACATGCACTGTGTTTCAGCGTTTGCATCAGTAGCAGTAGGCACAGAATGGAGGTGGTGCAGGGTTGCCAGCACATTCCCGTTCGCAAGGAAGAGAAAGGAAGAAGAAGAAAAAACAAAAAACAAAAATGAGGCGGTGAGACCTTGTCCATCTTTTCTGCTACCGCCCCCTCATGTCTTTCCTTTCTGCACCAATCACGGCTGCTGGTTGACAGGAGGCATAGCACGGGAGGCGTTGCAGAGTGGGCAGCGAAATTCTCTGTGCCGAAATAGTAGGCAAGAAAAATGAGGGAAGAAGAATCAGCAAAAAACGTCGGGCCCTCTGTCCTCTCCTCTACCCCCCTCTTCCCCCTCCCTTCCCCCCCCACCCCATGTCAGGCGCGCAACGGGCTGGCGGCAGTGACGGGGGGCACGGCGAGGGAGGTGCTGCAGAGCTGCTGAGAATCCATTTACCCCCCAACCACGAACTTCTCTGCTATGCCCCCCTCCTCCTCTCATGTCAGGCGCGCAACGGGCTGGCGGCCGTGACGGGGGGCATGGCGAGGGAGGTGCTGCAGAGCTGCCTGGTGATTGTGCGGCATCCCTTTACCCCCTGCTCACTTGAGTTCTCTGCTCTGCCCCTCTGCTCCTCTGCCCCCCTCCCCCCACCCCCCACTCCAGGCGCGCAACGGGCTGGCGGCAGTGACAGGGGGCACGGCGAGGGAGGTGCTGCAGAGCTGCTGGCGCAGCCCGTCGCTGAGCGTGCTGGGCGTCTCCACCTCGCCCTCCTGCGCGCCCTCCTGGTCCTCCCTCCCCAAAGCTGCTTCCGCTAGGGTACGCGCCTCTACCCCTGCCAGACCTCGTTACCTGGCCTCCTCCCCTTCTGGTCCTCCAACCCCAAGGCTGCCTTCGTCAGGGTAGGCCCCTCATTCCCTTTTGCTCGCCCTTCTGGTCCTCCAACCCCAAGGCTGCCTTCGTCAGGGTAGGCCTCTCACCCCCTTCCACTGAACATCTCATCCTCCTTTGACCACTTTTCTCTTCGTACTTGTTATATTTCTCCCCCGAGTGGTGATCTGGCATGTGGGGTGGGGAACCAGAGCCAGATCTTTGATGAGCTTTAATACCTTCCTCCCCTTCCATTTCGCATGGCAGGAGGTGATCTAGCACGTGCTAAATCGAAATCCTGATTTCTTTTTCTCTACTTCATCTGCCCCTCTTCCATTCCGCGTGGCAGGTGGTGATCCGGCACGTGCCGAACCAGAACCCTGACCGCCTGGTGCATCGGTTCCGGGCGCACGTGGCGCATGAGTTTGCCAAACTGCGGTCTGCGGGGAACTCCGTGACAGTCACGGTGGAGCACGTGGGCGACTGGTGAGTGGCGGTGTGATGCACACACACACCAGCATACTGGTGATTGGGACGTGGGCTACGGGTGAGTGTCACGTGAATGACTGGTGAGTGGCACGTCGGCGACTGGTGAGTGGAGGTGTGATGCACACCCACACCAGCACACTGGTGATTGGAACGTGGGCTACCGGTGAGTGTCACGTGAATGACTGGTGAGTGGCACGTCGGCGACTGGTGAGTGGAGGTGTGATGCACACCCACACCAGCACACTGGTGATTGGGACGTGGGCTACCGGTGAGTGTCACGTGAATGACTGGTGAGTGGCACGTCGGCGACTGGTGAGTGGAGGTGTGATGCACACCCACACCGGCACACTGGTGATTGGGCGTGATTGGTGAGTCACGTGGGCGACTGGTAAGTGCCACGTAAATGACTGGTAAGTGCCACGTAAATGACTGGTAAGTGCCACGTGGGCGACTGGTGAGTGCCACGTGGGTGATTGGTGAGTGGTGGTGTGATGCACACACACACAGGCACACTGATGTTAGAGACGGGGGCAACTCGTGAGTCACATGGGCGAGTGGTGGGTGACCGGTGAGTGGTGGTGTGATGCACACACACACAGGCACACTGGTGACAGGGACGTGGGTGACTGGTGAGTGGGCACACACACATACATACATACATACATACATACATACATACATACATACATACATACATACATACATACATACATACATACATACATACATACATACATACATACATACATACATACATACATACATACATACATGCATGCATGCATTGATGCATGCATGCAAACATACATACGTACATACATACATCCATACATCCATACATACATACTTTAGACAGATATGCATACATACAGATATACATACATAAATGCATGCATACATGCAAACATAGGTACATTCGTACGTACTACATACATGGTGGCTGTCATTGTCGCACGTGGCCAACTGGTGAGTGGCATGTGGTGCAGACACACACACACACGTCCCCCCCTCCACACTCACACACCCCCCCCCCCCCACACACACACATATTTACACACAAACACATACAGACTTCCCCCCCCCCCACACGCACACATACACATACACCCATATGCGCGCGCGCGCACACACATACACACCCACATACACATTTGAGTCCATGTAATTAGCAAGGTCTTTGCATCTCAAAACTGTCTGGTACGCTTAGTGAAGGAGTGCATACTGACCAAACTGACCAATGGATCAATTTCTCGGTGCATATGCAGTAGATACCTTTTCTTTTTTCTAGTCAACTAGATTAGTCCAATTTCTACGTTTTCACCATATATAACCATTTGATTCCATGTAATTTGCAAGATTTAAGCGTCTCAACTCTACCTGGTACACTTATTGCAGTTGCGCATACTGACCAAACTGATCAGTGCAGGCGATTGGTGGACCCTTCCTGCTCATTCTACCAACTCGATGAAAAGTGCATGTGTGCATCCTTCCACATCAGCTAATGCCCAGTCACCCAGTGCCTTTGAGTGTCCTTCATTCCATGCCCGCACATTCCCCGTTGTTTGCACTCCTCTCCTCTCCAGGTGGTTGGCAGACCCCTCCTGCTCCTTCTACCAGCTCGCAGAGAAGTGCATTCAGAGGCACTGGGACATGCCACCCATGTGAGTCTTAAACCCCTTCACTGCTACTGGGACCTGCCGCCTATGTAAGCTTGGATTTCCGGTGGTAATCCTTTGCATACCTTTTGACAATTGTCGTGTCGACTTGTAGTCACCAAATAAGGGATGTGCTTCGGGTGTGTGCTCCATGTCGCGTCACAACAAGCCATGTCAGCTGATCACCCCCTTCCTCCATGCCCACCCCCACAGGTACATCAGGGAGGGTGGCACGATGCCGGTGGTGCCATTTCTGGAATCAGCCTTGGGAGCGCCGGCCATCAAGATTCCCATCAGCCAGGCCACCGACGGCAGCGCGCTCCAGGTGGGCCTCAGGCTGCTTCGCAGGTGGTTGCAACAGAAGATTGTTCGTTTCAGGTGTATCTGAAGGTTTCCCAGGTAGTTGCTTGCAACAGATGGCAGTTTGCTTGCTTCAGGTGCGTGGATTAGCCTCCCACCCGAATCAGACAGGGGTGTGATTCATGTGGGAGGCAAACCCATTTTCCCCCTCACTCCTCTGGACCCTGACCTTCCTTATCTCTTTGGTGTGTGACAGAATGAACGGCTGGGATGGAGCCACCTCATCAAGGGCAAGGATGTGATCCGGGACTTTATCAAGGCTCTGGGGGACGGCAGCCGCAGCTGCTGATGTGATGTCAGCATCCGCTGCTGATGTCAGCCTTACCATGGCCAAGAGGGTCATCATGTCGCTGCAAGTGAGTGGGAGGCGGGTGTCATCTGCACTGGTCAGGGTCGTTAATAGATGGCACGTACGTATGTTTGGGGATGTCATGCTTTGAGCTGCCAATGGGGGGCCTGTGCACCCAACGGTGCAGTGTTGAGGCATGGAGAGATGGGGAGTACAGCGGTGAGGGAGCATGGAAACACAGTTTGATTCCCTTTATTGATGGGGTATATGCTGATCAAACCATACCCACAAGTATTGGTAGCGGTTGAGGGTAGCACCAGCTCTGCTTGTGAGTCGATGCGTTGTATGTACCGTAATTATGGAAGAGTATATATACAGGTCTCATTTTTGTAGCATTAGGTTTCCTCTCCTCCATCTATACATTCTTGTAGAAGAGAGAGCAGTGTATGTTTGATGTAGACTGCACTGCTCATAAACTCTCATGGTGAACTAGGTACCGTATTTTTCCTGATCCCACTGCTCTTACCGTATGAACACTTTTTGAAACGACTCAAAATATCTCAGCGCAACACTTATTGCACAGAAGCATGAGCGGCAGCCCTTAACTCCACATCCTTGCACTAGCGTCTACTTGATCTCAATGCACTGAAGAGTTCCTCAGAGTCTTCCCAAAGGAGATGATCGACGGCTACCGCAGGATCTCTAATTGAAATTGGAATCTATAATATAACCAAGAAATTGGCCTCGACATACAAGTAACAGAACAGCTGCCAGACCGTCTGTAAACCCTGCACATTTCTCATCATCGCAGCAGCATCCACTTGATCTCAGCGCACTTCTGACTGCAGCCTCAATCGCCGCATCCTCGTCCTTCTCCCGCCAGTAGACCCCATACCCCATACATACCCCACCCTACCCATGCACCATTGCAGCAGCAGCTTTATCTACTTGATCTCAGCGCACTGCCGGGGCCCGGGGTCCTCTCTCAGGCAGTTATCGATGGCAATGACAGCAGCCTCAATCGCCACATCCTCGCCCTTCTCCCGCCAGTAGAACATGTTGCCATACTTGCCAGCTAGCCGGCTCCAGAAGCTTCTGGGCACCGACAGGTCCACGGTCGAGCCAACATTGAAGTTCAGGAGGTTGCCTGAGATGAGTGGGTTGGAGGGAAGAGGAGGGTTTCACAAGATGCTTAGTTGGTGGGAGAACGAGTGGGTTGGAGGGAAGAGACGGGTTTCACAAAATGCTTAGTTAGTGGGAGAATGAGTGGGTCGGAGGGAAGAGACGGGTTTCACAAGATGCTTAGTTGGTGGGAGAACGAATGGGTCAGAGGGAAGAGACAGGTTTCAGAAGATGCTTAATTGGTGGGAGAACGAGTGGGTTGCTGACCATGCCCATGTCCAAGCACGATGCACCATGACCTTCCCTCTACAGCATACCCATGCACATGACCATGCTCATTGGCATGTTGATCAATGGCTGAGATGCTCTCACCCATGTTGGGGTCAGCAACGAACACCACAGTCTCATCAACCCATCCCCCAGGAGTCCCGAATGACCAACAGATAGATCAACGGCTGAGATGCACTCAAGTATGTCAATCAACGGCTGTGATGCAATCTCCTATGTTGATTAGCGGCTGCGATGCACTCACCCATGTTGGGGTCAGCGACGAACACCACAGTCTCGTCGTCCACCCCCCAGTAGTCCCGAATGGCCAACCCTGCCATGGCGCCACACACAACATGGGAGGGCGGCACGAGAAAATGCGTTGCAGTGGTGGATGAGAGGAAGGCGGAGGAAAGTGGGAAACATAAAGCGAGTGAGAAGCTGGTAGAAAATGAGCCTGAGATCACACAATGAGTACTCGAGAACTATGCACAATGATGCTGTTTCTTTGCAATTTACCCGGAGTGTTAGGGTAGTTTTGCGCCAGTATCCTCAGTTTATACCCCGTGTCTTGCTCCAATCTCTCCACGTCCTTCGCCAGCCGTTGCTCCTGCGGGCAGCAAGAGAGAGAAGTGGGAGACGTAAGAGGTGAGAAAAAAGGAAAGAAACGACCATCCATCAAACGAGATCCTTACAGGACTGAAGAGACTCCGGCGGGTCAATGAAATACATGCATTACCATTCCCGTGCTACAGTTAGCTGGAACTCACCATCACCCTCTCGCCCACTCTCACCCTAACGCATGAGCACCACCCATCCGGACGGCTAGCCGTCTAGCTCACCTGGCCGGGGGAGAGGAACCCTGCAACGTCGATGACGGTGGTGAACTCCTTGGGCAGCAGCTCCGGCTTGTTCACCCCCTCTGGCCGTGCCTCGGCAATCCCTAGGCCTGCCAAAATCACGATTCGCGAAATGTTGGGGAGGAATCAAACGCGGTGCAGGTGGGGTCAATGTAGCGAAACCATGTTTTTTGAATCTCAATGCTGAAATGCCATCCTGATGTGATGTCAACATTCTGCGATTCAATCAAGATGAAATGCGATTCCCAGTCACCACAGGAAATGCAGCCACCATGACCCTCCAGCGATTTTTAACGCTGGCAGCAGGAAATGCAGCCCACGCGTTATATTTGTTTGTTTGTTTCTTCCGTTTTTCAAAGTACGAACGACGCGAACGCAATCAATTCGCGTCGATGGTGTCCCGCATGTGTCGATCGATCGCGAGGGGAACGAGTTGCTGCAAGACGGCTTCACAGTCAACTCAAAAGTGAACATGTTGCTGAGATAGGCAAAGGTTGTCGCGACGACGCACCACTCAGTCTTCGCTATAGTCAGCCAGGTTCACACGCCTATTTATAACATGGTTTCGTGAGAGAAGGAATAAAGGCCAAACGACGTTGGCGAAGGTGTTACCTGCTGACAGGGCGACGGCCACGCTCGCGGACGTGGCGACGACGAGTTTCGCGGATTCTTGCGCCAATCTCGCGACTTCGTGTTTCCAGGCAGATCCGTCCTTCGCGGAGCTGTCGGATTGGGACGGGGCCTGCGAGTGTGCACGAATGGACGAAATTCGTCGAAGTGGTAACTTCGTTGACAAAGAATCAGCAGAGCTGCTGGCTCCTGCGGACATCCGCTGCCTCTGCAGCGACGCAGGGATGGCCATGGCGCGAACCGCGGTGGCAGCAGCCATTGTAGGGACGAGGAAAGCAGAGGGAAATGGCTACCAGGAGAAGGTGAAACGGAGCCACTGGCACGAAGAGCACAAAGCTCAGTTAGCCAAATGATATATTTTAGAACTGCCTGACTCGTGAGTGAAGAGAACAAGGACGATCAATGTGGCCGTAATGTGGAGATGGATGCTCCGGCCTAGAAGGTTTGAGAGGTCAGCTCTCACATTGCCATCTTCTCCTGCTATGGAGCAATTTATCACCATTTCAATGTTTTTGAGGGATATTTGGTAGAACACATAGCCACGCCCGCTATTCCTTCTGAAAAGGTTTGGCCCCGTCTGCAACGAATCTTTGTGAGGCTGCAACGACTTTGCTTCCAGACCCAGCCCAATTTTTGCCACCCGGATCCACTCCTGAGAAATTAGGACGGGCAGGGATTCGGATAACAAGAAATAAATTTGCTGAATTTGACGTTGGTATTGTAGCCGTACACTTCAGTGTTGACGCAACATTCTTCGTGGCGTGGGTCGAGCCACAGAGCTGACGTCACCCTTCGCTGATCTGACGAGGCAGCGAGGAACTCTAAATGCCACGTGAGTTGAAAACAGCCGCATCAGCACATGACATTGAACGATGCGATTAGCTTGGAAATACAAACAACACGTTTCACTCATGTGTTCCAACTCTAAATTAGGAGGAAAGGCACAATCCAGCAGCTTTATTATGCTACACATACCTTAACTCTGGAGCGCTGATCAGAGTCACACCTCATAATACAGAGACACTGAAGCAACATAACACCATGCAAGCTTAGGAATACATCCACATGTTACAACAGCTGGGGGTACAACTCTTGTTGCATATCCACACCCCCTCTCATCCTCTCAACCACCATTTCCACCCCGTCCTTCCCTCTCCTTCCTCCAGGCCCATCCCCGCACACCCTTCCTTGCCCCTTGAGACTTGCCACCAGGTCCTCCCCCTCCACCTTCACCACGTCCCTCCTCACCCCCACGTCCAGCGCCACTCGGCTCAGGCTGTACGACCCTGCACACCCACACAGAGACACACGCATACACACACAGACACACACACTCATCAACACGCAGAGCGAGGAGTTTAGAGAGCAAGGGGTTTAGAGAAGCCAGCAAGAGCGCCACATACATCATGCTATCAGGTGGGAGATGTGGGAGCGCTGGTGAAGGCACTGCCTAAGTCACACCAGCTGAGAGAACAGCTGGCATTTATATGCACCAACTCACCTCCCACCCATGCCAGCACCATGTGCAGCACACCATCTCCGCTCCCCCTCACCTCTCCCAACCCCCCCCCGCCAATCTCACCGGCGAACACAGCAGCAGCAGCCAGGGGGCCGACGAGCAGCAGGGGAACGGCGGCGGTGGCAGAGGCAAAGTTGAACCCAAAGAACGCAGCGGACTGGCCGCTGGTGCCCACGCGGGTCTTGTCCACCACGAGTGCACGCGTCTTGCAGAACACGGCAAAGTCCTCACAGTTGTTGTCCAGCACGTGGTAGCGCCCAAAGCCCTCTTTCAGCAGCAGACGTGCTCTGTATCAGGAAAGAGTACAGTGGAAGCCAGGTCATTTACGAGCTGCACGGGTGGGTCTTCCAGTACACGGCAAAGTCCTCACAGTTGTTGTCCAGCACGTGGTAGCGCCCAAAGCCCTCTTTCAAGAGCAGACGTGCTCTGTATCAGGAAAGAGTACAGTGGAAGCCAGGTCATTTACGAGCTGCACGGGTGGGTCTTCCAGTACACGGCAAAGTCCTCACAGTTGTTGTCCAGCACGTGGTAGCGCCCAAAGCCCTCTTTCAGCAGCAGACGTGCTCTGTATCAGGAAAGAGTACAGTGGAAGCCAGGTCATTTACGAGCTGCACGGGTGGGTCTTCCAGTACACGGCAAAGTCCTCACAGTTGTTGTCCAGCATGTGGTAGCGCCCAAAACCCTCTTTCAGGAGCAACCGTGCTCTGGAGGAGAGAATACAGAGGGAGTGGGATCATCTAACGGCTGGCATGGGTCGTGATGAGGGGGTGGGTCGTGCAGTACACGGCGAAGTCCTAGCAGTTGTTGTCCGGCACGTAGTAGCACCCAAAGCCCTCTCTTAGCAGCAGACGCGCCCTGGAGGAGGGTAGAGAATGGGAGACATGCCAGTTGACAGCTATCAGCACAAGCAAACGAGTCTTGCAGAACACGGCATGAAGTCCTCACAATTGTTGTCCAGCACGTGGTAGCAGCCTCCCTACAAGCACACTCAATCCTACCTCTGCACCACTGCATGCGGAGCATCAGGAACTGCCATGCTGCACGTGCCGCCTCGCATCTGCAGGCAGAAGCTCCCCACCGACACGCCGTAGTCGAATCTGAACAGCCGCCCGCCGTGCAGGAAGCACCGCAGGCACGACGAGATCACGCCGTGGCTGCTGTCCTCTGTTCCACAGGCTCGGCATGGCGCCGAACCTGCACCGCCAGGTCTGGCAGCAGCAATCCCAACAGCATCAGCACGGCCAGAATCAGCAGCAGCAGCAGCGGTGGTGGTGGTGGTGGTGCGTTGAAGGGCGGGGGAGATGGAAGCAGCATAGTCTAGAAGGGCGTTGGAGCCGATCTCGTCTGCCTGCTGGCGAGTGAAGTGAATCACCTCGTCCGCTCCCACGTACACTCCTGCGGTAGTCAAGCGGTGGGCGAGACGAGAGGGGAGGGATTCGTGTAAAGGCACGTCGTGCTGCTGCAGATGGCTTCATATGCATCCACGTACACTCCCGGGGTAGAGGGTGAGATGGGAGGAAATTCCACTTTACACTCGAGTTACCATGGTGAGAATAAGACATGCCGATGCGCCACGAGAAGATGTGGTCGCCCGCCTTCAGCTCGTCTCGCCGCACCTCCGCGGGATGCCACAACCCCCCCGCGCCGACCGCCATGCTCTCCGCGTCGCAGTGCGAGCGTGCTCAAATCCTACATCTATGTCTGCTTCGTCTCCATATGTACAGTACGATTCAATTGATTTAGAGTAAAGAAGCCTTCAGGACAGAAAAAAAATGCTATAACATTCTTCAACTGAACGTGCGACTCGAGTGCTTCAACTACAGTTCCCGAATGTCTGATAAAATCTCGGAGATGACGGAAGGGAAGTGTTGTTGGCAGATGCGAGAGCTCTGGCCAACGAGTCACGGTAGCGATGTGTGCGAGTGTCGTTGGAGCAGCTGTCGTGAATCGTGATACGTGCGACACTACTGGCGTAACCTTCACCGTCGTTCCTTTCTCCTTGTTAGTCATAAAAGCAGCTCACATGGATGCTGTCGAAGGGGTGGGAGAGTGTTACGAGTGCAATTGAAAGAGCGAGTGAGAATTGCACTATCGAAGCAATCAATACAATTGAGCGAAAAGCATGAGCGAAGTTATATAGCGAAGTTATATAGCGAAGCTAGCGTGGTAACGGTAATGCGGGAAATTGGGGTGCGCTACGGGCCTAGCAGGTTGGGAATTGTCGAGGCGGAGGTCCGGAGCGCGGGTTACCAACCGAACCGTGAGGTTGGGTCGCATCGTGAACAGTGGCGGGAGTCGTGGTCGAGGCGAATGTCGCGAGCGGGTAACGTTCACGGATGGGTGCCGATGGCGGGAACGGGCATGTACGCGGTAAGCAGGGACGCGAAGTAAGGAAAAGGAATTTTCCTTACACTACCCCCCCCCCCCCCCAAGGAGGCCCCTCTTACGAGAGCGCGTGTACATCTCGAAAGTTTCGGCTACGCAGATACTCAGTCAAGACAGGGTGATTCTCAATTCTATCCAGGGGAACCCAATTGTCTTCGGTTGGCGTGCGGTCTTTCCAGCGGATTAGAAATTCGATCCTGCGGGCTCCCCGTGGGTCACGTACTCGGTGGCTCAGTATTTTTTCGGGCGTGATGGTTGGCTCTGTCGGTGGTCGTGTCATGCTGGCGGGGCGGTTTCGAGGCAGTTGGCTGGTGGATGGCACGTATGGGCGAAGCAGGCTGACGTGGAATGACGGGCTGACGTACCAGTCAGCAGGGAGGAGGAGATGGGCGGTGACAGGTGTGATCATGTGGCTTATGCGAAATGGCCCGCAATATCGGGGGCGGAGTTTTGGGGTGATGGGCAGGCGGAGGTTTTGAGTGTCGAGTAAAACTAGGTCGTCAGGCTGGTGAGTGACAGGTCGGCGGTGGCGGTCCGCGTTGCGTTTAGCGATGATGTTTGATTTTTTTATTGCTTCTGCTGCTCGGGTCCGTGCTGCTTGCAGTATTTCTGCGATCTGTTGCGCGCGTGGGACTGGGTTGTCGGGATTCGGGGTCATGGGTACTGTGGGGTCTTGTCCGTAGTTCAAGTAAAATGGTGACTGTTGGGTCGTGGCAGATGGCGAGTTGTTGTACGCGAATTCGATGAGTGGCAGTTGCTGTTCCCACATGGTCGGGTCGTCGCAAGTGGCAGCTGTTCCATGGTCTGATTTGTCCGTTCTGTCTGTCCGTCGGTTTCGGGGTGGTATGATCAACTGAACTGTAGTCGCGTGCCGAACTGCTGCCACAGGTTCCGCTAGAAGTTGCTGGTGAATTTCGTGTCGCGGTCGCTGATGATCGCTGCTGGTATCCTGTGTAAACGAACGATGGTGGCGATGAAGAGGCGAGCTGTTTCTTCGGCTGTGATTGATTTCTTGCATGCTTCGAAATGTGCCATTTTCGTCAACCGATCGACGACGACCAGGATCGCGTCGTTCCCACTTGATCCAGCCGGTAACCCCGTGACGAAGTCCATCGTCACCTGCTGCCAAGCACGCTCTGGGGGTGGTATCGGCTGCAACTGTCCTGCCGGTCGTTGTCGTGACGACTTCATGAGCTGGCAGGTGGGACACGATGCCACGTGTCGTTGCACGTCGGTCAGCATTTCAGGCCAGTAGTAATACCGCTGCAGCTGCTGCCGTGTTTTCTCTACCCCGAAATGTCCTGAGGTAACCCCGTCATGTGCCTCCTGTAGTAACAGCTCCCTTAGTAAAGTGTAGCCCGGTACCCAGATGCGGTCGGTGCCGGCTTTTACGTAATAAACTCCTTTTGCTGCTGCGAACTGCTGCGAGTTTCCTCCTGTGAAGAACGGGTCTGTCTGGTATCCGTGGGTAAATAGGCCTGTCAGCAGTGGGCTAGTCTGGGCAAGTAGTATCGCGTGGAGTTGGGCAGTAGGGCGGGTCAGTGCGTCGGCAATGTTTGATGCTCCGGTGCCCGTGTAGTGGAAGTTTGACTCGAGAAAATCGAGCCAGCGGATCTGTCGTGGGTTGAGGTGGGGCTGTGCGCGAAGGTACTGTAGGGATCGGTGGTCTGTCCGTACTGTCACGTCTGCGCCAGTCAAGTAACAGCGCCAGACTTTGAATGCATGCAGGATCGCGAGCATTTCGCGGTCGTGTATCGGGTAATTTTTCTCGGGCGGATGCAGCTTTCGTGACTCGTATGCGATGGGCTGTAGGCCGTTGCCGAAATCCTGTAGCAGTACGGCTCTGTCAGAACATTGTAGCTTATGCTGTTGTGTAGGCTATAGTGGGGTATCCCATAGGGGGTACAACCAATTAGGGTTTCATATTTGTACTCACTTCATTTCATAGTTCATCCATTCTCGTTCTCATTCTCACATGGAATCAGAGCAGGTCCCCTCCTAGGGACTGTTCCTTGGGCCCACCGAAGCGCGCCTCGAGTCGCGCCTGCCTTTTTTTTTTTTTTAGCGGCCCGTCGAGTCGCACCTAGCGGCCCGTCGCGCCGCCCTTACGGTCGCGTCGAGCCGCCCTAGCGGCTGCGGCGCGCCGCCCTTTTCCCGGCCCGTCGCCGCCCTTACCCGCGGCTTTGCGCCGCCCTCACCGGCGGCTTCGCGCCGCCCCTACCTGCGGCTTCGCGCCGCCCAGGCCCGTCGCCGCCCTTCCCGCGGCTTCGCGCCGCCTCTACCTGCGGCTTCGAGCCGCCCCGGCCCGTCGCCGCCCTTACCTGCGGCTTCGCGCCGCCTACGGCCCGTCGCCGCCCTTTTCTGCGGCCCCGCCGCCTCTCTCGTTGCGGCCCCGCCGCCCGTCTTCGCGGCCCCGCCGCCATCTCTCGCTGCGGCCCCGCCGCCACTCACTGCGGCCCCGCCACCCATCTCAGCGGCCCCGCCGCCCGTCTTCGCGGCCCCGCCGCCTCTCTCGCTGCGGCCCCGCCGCCTCTCACTGCGGCCCCGCCGCCCTACTCAGCGGCCCCGCCGCCCGACTTCGCGGCCCCGCCGCTTCTCTCGCTGCGGCCCCGCCGCCTCTCTCGTTGCGGCCCCGCCGCCCTTCACTGCGGCCCCGCCGCTTCTCTGCAGCGGCCCCGCCGCCCGTCTTCGCGGCCCCGCCGCCTCACTACCCAGCGGCCCCGCCGTCCTTCTGCAGCGGCCCCGCCACTCCTCTACAGCGGCCCCGCCGCCCTACATCAGCGGCCCAGCCGAGCCGCCCAACAGCAGCGCAGCCGAGCCGCCCAGCAGCAGAGCAGCCGAGCCGCCCCGCCGCCGAGCCGCACTGCAGCCGTGCAGCCGACCGCCCAGCCGCCGAGCCGCCCAGCTGCCGAGCCGCCCAGCCGCCGAGCCGCCCAGCCGCCCAGCCGCCGAGCCGCCCAGCGGCCGAGCCGCCCTGCAGCCGAGCCGCCCGAGCAGCCCTGTCCGGTGAGCACAGACCCTCTGTCACTGCGTGCTCTTCCCCTACTCCTTGCACTGCTGGTCTACTGCTGTCATGGCTACCCCTAGTGTCCTCACTTTTGACGCTGAGGGTCGGGCCATTGACTTTGAGGTCTGGGTAGATGACCTACAGCTGTTCTTACAGTGCGATAGGGCGGACGGCCTCTCTCTCTTTGACCTCACCTCTGGCGCTTCCCCTGCCCCTGCTGCTGATGCTAACGCCACTGTTCGCTCCCAGTGGGCCACGCGCGATGCTGCTGCACGTCTTGCTGTGCGTCGCCACCTCCCTACCTCCGAGCGTGCGCACTTTAGTCAGTACAAGAGTGCTCAGACCTTGTACGCCGCTGTAGTCGCGCGCTACTCCTCCCCTTCCACTGCTGCACTGAGCCGTCTCATGCTGCCGTACCTCTTCCCTGACCTTGCTTCTTTTCCCACCGTTGCTGACCTCATTACGCACCTCCGCACTAGTGACACTCGCTACCGCGCTGCACTTCCTGCTGACTTATGCACCGCGAACCCCCCCCCCATGTACATCACTCTGTACTTCCTAGTCACTCGCCTCCCTGACTCCCTTCGAGTAGTCAGGGACCACTTTCTCTCAGTCTGTCCCACCACACTCACTGTAGACCTCCTCGAGAAGGCCCTCCTCGCGATAGAAAAGAGCATAATCGCTGTAGGAGCCTCTCGAGGTGACCCGCGCACCCCCATCTTTGAGGGGTGTTCTCCCTCCCCCCTGCTGCCCTCTGTTGCCTCTGCTGCTTCGGCCGACCTCCTTGGTCTTGAGTCGGTCGGTGCGGCGTCTGCCCCTAGCGGGAGACGCCGCCCTGGCAAGGGCAAGGGGGGCAAGGGAGCTGGAGGAGCGGGCGGTGGAGGTGGAGGTGGAGGCAGTGGGGGGAGTGGGGGTAGCGGTGGAGGTGGAGGTGGGGGTGGGGGGTTCGGTGGCGGCAGTGGAGGCGGAGGCCGCGGCGGCGGTGGCGGTGGTAGCGGAGGTGGCGGAGGAGGCGGCGGTGGAGGAGGCGGTGGAGGCGGCGGCGGCAGTGGAGGCAGCGGAGCGGTGGAGGCGGTGGGGGTGGCGGTGGAGCTGGTCGCGGGTCTTTGCAGAGGAGTGGCTCCGGTGGTGGCTCGCGCCAGCAGCAGCAGCGTGGTCGTGCGACCCTGTCCCCTCAGCAGCTCCGTGAGTGGTACACTGCACGCCAGCGGGGTGGGGGTTTTGGTCCGTGTACCTACGTCCTGCGCACCGGCGACCGTGCGG